GGGGGGGGGGGGGAACACAATTTTGTGCTTGGGGCCCCGCACTACTTAAATCCGGCCCTGCTTCACTACCGTCTTCTGTTGTCAATGCGGCGATGTCAAAGCAACAATGGCCGCCGATTCGTATGGCATACGCATTTTTCAAATCAGCATTCTTGATACCGCTAGCAACAAAATGCAAGTGATAGAAAAACGTAATTATTAAATATAACAATTTTATATTCAGGGCCGGCGATTGATGATAAATCCGAGTGCGTAATTGATCCGGGTGGAGTCCCCCCTCCCCTTCTTCTCCCACCAAAAATATATCATAAGGGAAAATTACAAAAAAGATTTTTTCAAAGTGTCATCTTTATCATTAAATTGTTATCACATTATCAGTAACTTCAGCCGAATTCATTTTTCCAATGCAAAAACAGCGCTACGCTTTGTATTTTTTTATATAAATTCATTTAAGAATATTTGCAAAACGATTTTGTAGGTCATGTCTCTATAAACATGCAAAATTACTGTTCATGCAAAATACTGTTCAGCCGATCTTGCAACGTAGTTGGTTGCATATACGTCTAGGGTTCGACGCAATACCGAGAAACTTCGTTATTTGTGGTACAAGACGTTTATGGAATATTTATCTCATCCCAAATCCCCAGTGGTATTTTACCCATTCGGAATGTTTCATGTGGGTATAGCTGCCCACCATACCCATATTGTACGCTGGGCCTAGTTTTATTAATCAAAATTATTCGTTTTTACAGGAATAAACTCGTAATTCTCGCACCTTGGCGTGCAAAGAGAAATGATCCATTCGTTTTTACGTTTAACTCAATTAAATGAGACAATTTAAAATAGATTTAGTGCTTAAATAATATTAAACGTAATTTTTTTTCCAAGATTTGATTCAGCAACAATAGTGAATGGAGTCACGAGTGTAAGATCATTTCAACGTAGTTATAAGATTGGAGTAGATAAATTTGCCCGTCCTTTATTTATATTATTATACAGACCAATGTGGCTTTTCTTACTAACGACAGGCAGTCAATAACTATTAAGTTATTATAAAAACTCATTGATATTTCTTGATTTTTTGTCGCCCTTTGAAGAACATACATTATGCGTGTTTCGGGAGTTCGATTTTTACTCCTAGCATGAGATTGTGACATTAATAAACAAGAAAAATATAATTATAAAAAATTGTTGCGTCTTCTGATGACGGGACTAATCCTCCATTAATTCATTTCATGTCATGTCTGTCACGTCTCGTCGCAGCCAGTTGTCAAGAGGACCACCAAGTAGCATCTCCGCGTACACGCCTCCTACTACGCGTTCCTGTGTCACTACCCAGAGGCCTGAATTGGGAATGAATTCGGATTGGGGCAGGGTTTAGTACACTTCACAGGACTAGCCCCTGCGAAGCATGCAAACTCGTTTTGTAGTAACAAATTTCACATGCGGTTCTACGGGGATTCTATGGGAATCGAACCCGGAATCTCAGTGGTTAAACGCAAGGGCCTTCGCCATTGAGACACGAGAGCATTTAGACAAAAGTTTAAATAATAACGAATATTTGCATAGAAATCTCTACTCATTACATTTTACAACATTAGGTACGAAATAATTACTTTTCAAGCACATATCAACACAAATTAGGGAATTAAAATTGCGTTTCATACAGTTATATCATGTCCCAACAATGAGAAGGGATTCTCGCCTCAAACAAAGCGCGGGAAATTATAATTTACCATTTCGAAACATTTTACAATTTTCGACAAAACACAGCGGGGTTTGAAAGTGGGACTAAGACCACTTTTTTTACCGTTCTTTTCTACATACGAGAAAAATATTTAAAGGAAAAAATGGAGACGCTTCTCAGAAAATAATTGTTTAAAATTTAAAAATTGCTTATATTTCACACAACATTATGTAAAAAGTACTCATATTTTCGAAAAACTTAACACGATCTTATTTGAGGATATTTTTTTGACGAACACATTTTATTTACAAAAGAAAATTTTATTTATTATAGTTGTAGGAAGACGCCGAAAAAATCTGAATTTTTGAAATTTTCGAAAAATCAGATTTCAACAAAATTGACACCTGCACCATTGTCTTAAGTGTCCTTTATGCTACCAGGTCATATTTTAGTTTAAAAAATTGGAGCCACATTTGAGAAAATTTTGAAAATGTTGGGCCTTCATGTAAAGTACCCTAAAATATCAAATATCAGTTTCAAACTTGCAAAGCCTTGAGTTCGTTCAGATTGATTGGAGAATATCAACTTTAGAGGAAATCGGGTAAACGATTTAGACACTAGCGTTGACCACGCACAGAAAGTGACGATTTGTCGTCAATCGAATTTTCGACATCAAGGACCCTCGAAATATGGATTGTGATAACACGTTCGCCATTTTCCGGCGCTCTATTAAAATACAATTCTAATGCAAAAAATGCAAAAAAAAAATAAACTTTTCAAATTTCGAAAATTCCTAGGTTTCAATGAAACCACGACCTGGCCATTTCATAAGCTTACATACTTACTTTCTCTCTTCAAGCAATAAAATTGAAGAAAAAATGTGGAGCCATTTTTGAAAAAAGTTCGAAAATGTTGTTGGGATTTCTTGTACAGTAACCACTACGATTAAAATATCCGTTTCAAAATCGAGGGGACAAGAAATAAAGATCAATCAGGGAATATGAATCCAGTATGCGGTTTAGGCGCTAGTATGGTTCATAAACTGACGGGCATTCTAGTTACCTAAAAGCACTTATCCTGTGTCAAGGAACCACAAATGTACATTCTGACAACATTACGTATTCTAGAAAGTAATAATTATTCTAGAAATGTAACAAATTATTTATTACCTTCTTTTAACAATCAAAACCCACATTTTCAGAATCCGGGATCCAAATTTGGGTGCCCGTTCGGGACCCGAATGCCGATTTTTAACGTCTTTTTCTCTTAAAAATCGGCATTTTCTTACAGATTTTATAACTAGTAATATTCCAAACTGGTACGTATAAGTTTACAAGAAAGCAAAGTAACGGTTCTACAACAGTGCAAAGACGCTATTATTTGTAATGCAATTAATGTGTATTATAATACTGGTAAAAATATTTGGCAACGTTCGGAGTAAAACCCAGCTTCATAGGATCCGTAGGCAGCGTTTTAACCCCTTAACAGTGAAACTTGAGTATATAGATCGCTGTAAAATTTCAGGGGGGGGGGGATTTACGAAAATAAAACCTGTGCCTCTTTTATAAAAGCAATTTGATATACATTCGACCAAAGAATTAAAAAAAAAATTGCAACATTTTTCGGGAAAATTCTGTAAATGTTGGTTTTTCTGTAAAGAACACCCAAAAGTCAAATATGTTTAAAATTCAAGCGACCACGACATCAGCCAGATCGACCGGGGAATATCAAATTTTATGAATATCCTGCGTTCAGATTAGGAACTAGCTTTGTTCATAAACAGAGGGACAGATAGAAGTTTCCCCGAATCCCACAATTTCGGAATCAATAGCTTACAAAACGTGGATTCTGACTATACAGCGTTTTAGAGAAGGTAATTATCTACGCATAGTGGAGCAACAAAAATCCAATTTTCGGTATCAGGAACCTATAAAAAGTTTGCCGCGGACAAATTGCCCCTTTTTGCAGTAGAATTACACTATTTTCACTATTGCTACGTAATAGAAAACGAGAGAGTAGGAATACGAAAATAAGTTTTCTCAGACTGCAAAACATTCACCCTCGCATTCTTAATAATCAATTTTGTCAAAATTAACTACCCAACTTTACAGAAAATGTAGAATATGATATTTACAGATAGTTCCAATTAACACAACGGTTTAGTTATCCTTCCTGTAATATTTATTTTAATCTATTTTTATAAAAACACGTTCATTTTGTCACATTATCGAAATTGTTTCGATTCCTAATAGTTAAGTGGAAAGAAGACTATCAGAATATCGTGGAACAGCAAAACCTCATTTTATGACGAAATTTTCGGTGGAAAACGTGTAACCATTTGGAGGAAAATTGTGAAGGGTTTCTGGAAATGAGTCATTTCGAGCTCATTTACACTCGACAGGTTTTGAGATTTCCTAGAACTTTATACAAGATAATTTGCAGCATTTGTGTACAAAATCTGGCACGTCGGTAATACCTTATAAACTAAAACTAAACTGAGATATTTCGTTGAAATTATGTCAAATCCCATTTATTAGTGTATGTTGCTATATTTGAGCAAAAAATAAAATGAAACTTTAAAAAAATTAAAAATGATGGCAACTTCTAGAAAACTTTCAAAATTTCGCAAGGTCTTCATGTTTCGCGCTAACAAAAATTAAATTTATTAACTTCAATTACAACAATCTACTGAATTAAAAAGTCAAAAACCACAGACCTGCAATTTTTTCCACATAAATAGTTCATAAAATTAGTGTATTACTATCCCACAATATGATTGACACGTTTAGGAAAATAAAACAATTGCTTGATAAAAATGACAGTTTACATTTCCCTTTCCTTAGAAATGCTTTAGATGTTCAAAACGTTTAAAAGAATCAGGCGCCATATCATTTAAAAGACGTTATCACGTTGTATTGCTTCCAGGAGAACAGATACAGTTTTCTACTGCAACACCAGTCTTGCAAACCACTCGCCTTCGCCACTAAAGCTGAATAAATAGCGCCCCACCACTTGAGTAAACAAACCAATTATTTCTTCGAGCATCCAGTTCACATATCACCATCCCTTTATGCACTTCATATCAGCGGTTATTCCTTTTTTGCATTTAAAAAAAAAAGTTTGGTAATAAATAGTGTATAAACGAGTTTGTTTGTGCTTTATACCAAGATGATGAAATCGCACATGTTTTTGTAAACTAAAAACAGGACTTTCTGTGTTAACGCCGTTCAAAGTTTTGAAACAATACATATTTGTAGGACGCAGGCATCTGTACGAACGTTGGGGTGCCGCCGTCGGCGGTTCCTTACCTGATGGCTGGGGCGTCTTTCGATAGCCTTCATGTTGGCGCCGGCGCTGCGGTGATGCAATCCAAGAGACACAAACCCTGCGTGCCGGAGAACGACTGACTGGCGAGCAGAGAGCTCAATCCCGTATCTACCCTGCCCCTGCCGCCTTCGGCTCCGCCTCTTCCTCCTCCTCCTCCTCCTCCTCCTCCTCCTCCGCCACCGCCACCGCCTCCGCCGCCGTCATCGTCGTCGTCGCCGTCGCCGCCTCCGCCTCCGCCGCCACCGATGCCTCCGTGCCGCGTCTCCGCCGCCTCCGCCTCACTTGAGAGCCACGCTGCAGGTCAGGCGACCGGGAAGTGGGGCCGGCCGGCGCGTGCTGCAGGCGTGTTAGCTCGGCATACTACCGCCCCGCCCCCAGCCCCCCCCTCACCCCGGGACCAAGCCCTCTGCTCTCCGCCGCGGCCCGTTGAGAGACATGTTCAGCGCAGATAGTACTGCAGTCAGCGGATTGTTTCTGGAAGAGAAGTGTGTTTCTGAAATTGTTCAGGGACCACTTGTGTTTTTAAGCTTTTGTTATTGCTATTGTTATCGTTATTGTCATCATTATCGTCTGAGTCACCGACGTAATTGCTCAGTGATATAATATTTCGAATTTTTTTCCATATCAGCATGATATTATTATTATTTATTAATTATTATTTCTAGACTTCGTTTTGAATGTTTGCTTATATGGAGTACACGTTCAAAATGTATTAAATCCTTATTCATTTTCACTTAGTTTGAAGCTAATTTATAATCTTTAAACTCAATGAACGTATACCAAATGTATGACGTATCAGATATTTATATCTAGAACTTTAATTGTTTACTCTTTTTCTTCCCACGAGATTAATAATTGATAATTCTTTAATTATGGAAAAAAAGAGTAAAAAAAACATACCCATCCGCAAGGTGGTATATTTGCACTTTTATTTCCCCATTCTCGTGTTGCAATAAATCTTCACAATTTTATTATGTTCTTCTAAGTTTAAAATTCTATGAATTATCTTCCAATGGCTGGAGGTATGGGAGAAACTTTTTCCCAATATTTTCAAGTACAATCAGTATTTTTAGTTTAATATCATTTTTTCTTTCTAAAGACACAGAATAACATGATGCTTGTTCGTGTTATTTAACACGTGCAACGATCAAATGGTGTCCACAAAAATGTTTTGCTGTCCTTTATTAGTCTAAAAATATTGGTAAAGGAATATTGTAAAGATGCTCCCTAAATGGAGGGAGGTAGTGAGATCCCCTACGAACCTACATCTTCCTATCTTACGAAGACGAGTAATTAAAATTGCTTAACATCAGTGATGATCTATCCGGTCGCCGCTATGCTCTCGGTCACTGCTGTGGTTTCCAAAGTTGTTGTTTTGTTTTTTTTCAGAAAATATTACTGAATTCATGAATAGCTGCGACATACCTTTACATTTTTAATATACCGTATGCATTGCGTTATCTTCAATAAATCCGTAAAATGCTGTAGATTAAACACTTCTTTTTATTACTACAACACGAGGAATCTTTGATTACGTATTTTTCAAGTGACATGAGACAACCTGAAGTCCGTAATTCCATAAACTCTTAACATTTTCAGTTAATTTAATTATTTAAATTATTAAGAATTCATTCAGATCGAATTGGTAATTTTTATCCAGAGGGTTGGGATAAGGGTTAGGATAAAAAAGTTCAGGGGCTAGGGAGCGAATGCAAGGAAACGAAGACCGACTTGACTTCAGCAGAACAGTCTGTGCATTCTGTAGATGTTAAGAGCGCTCTTTGAAAACATTTCATTTGCATCTTTCTAGTTTTGAAGTGTGAAGAATTTGTGAATGTTGCATCTAGATAACGATTAATTGTGTCCCCAGTTATAGCAGCGCACATCCCACCCTAGGGAGGGACGATTCCTGATGGCACTCCCTGCCCCATAAATTGTCTCCTTGCTTTCAGAATCGATCAGGAATTTAAAAAAGAATAAATGTAAGATGTAAATACCTCATTGCATTTTAAAGTGTTTATATTACGTTGTCGTTTTTTTTCAGCATTCTCGAAGATCGCAGTATGCGAGCTGCCTTCTCCGAAATTCCCGCAGTGCACATGTCAGGTACGATCGGTTAGCAACCATTGTTCGGTCACTCTGTGGCTGCTGGTGCCCCAACAGAATGAAGGTTGCACCTCAATCTAATGACGGCAATGTAATTTCCAAAATTCACAACACTGATATATAATAAAATGAAAGCAGTCCATGTAAATTCATAAAACTAATTTAAGTCAAAGTTTATATTGAAACTTACCTAATTGTATACGTAGTGTCCATTTCAGATATATACACTGTCCGCGCACGCGGTTCTGGCTTTGATTTTCACAGGGCACTTAAATTTTTATATTAGTTTTGCATAGAGACAGTAGACGGTACTAGGATTCACACAAAACAAAAAAGATCGCAAATACGGTCCTCGCACTTCAGAACTTTGCAGCAAGCACTAATACTTGAGTGCGTCTTTCAAAAAACTATTTTATTTCGAAAATTTCACTACTCTGGTATATCTTGTAGCTCAGCTGTAACTGCAGCCGTACATTCGCACCAACTGTGAGAGAGAAAGGGACTTCCTTCCAGAACGGCCAACTTTACACAACGGACTCATAATCAAAAGTACATTTTGAATCAAAAGAAAATGAATTCTCCAAACATCATAAACAATGCATTCAATACCGTTAATAACACAGGCATACAAAATTTTAAAAAATGTTGTCAGGCATAAAGACATGACACATGTTTGTCTACATACTATCTCGAAGCGCTGAATCCGAAGCCAGAATTGCGCCACCACCCTCCAATTTGTTTTTTTAAATCGTGACCCCACCCCCCATGGATTTCGTAGAATCGTGAGCCCCCCATTTTTCCCCGGGGTTGTTGTCAGACCCAAAGGCTTGTTTCCCTATATACTATGCGGAAGCGCAGAATCCGAAGCAATAATTGGGCCAGCACCCTCCTATTTTTAAAAAAAATCGTGACCCCCCCCCCCATCCTTGGAATTGTATTTTTTCGGGGTTGTTGTCAGACCCTAAGACCTGTTTCCCTATATACTACATGAAAGCTATTAATAATCCGGAGCCAGAAGCATTGATCGCGTTCACCGCACTTCACTTCACTTCACTACACTACACTTTTTTGCTTTGAATTACACTGACCATCACTTCACAGCACTTCACCGCACTACACAGCACTTACTCATTTAATATCTGTTACTGTCATCTTGTTGTAACTTGTTTCTAAAACTTCGGACACTGAGAGGGAAGGCTCTGACAACTGCTGCAGGTAAACTGTTCCAATCTCTAATTGTTCTGTTACAAAAGGAAATCTTCCCAAGATCTGAATTTTGTTTCCTTGCTCGAATTTTGTGGGTGTGATCGCTTCGGCCGAAATAATTTGGTTTTTCTAGTCTAATCTGAATTTCCTTCCAAGCTGGTTGACCTACGTACGATTTATAAGGAGCGCAAAGCCTAGCCTTTGTTCTTCTCGTTTCTAGAGGTTCCCATGACCTTTTTTGTAGCGTTACTTCTATAGGTAAACTTATTCGCTTTTCTCTGTATTCGATCTAGATGAATAGATTCGATCTAGATTCGATCTAATGAATGAGTTTGTGTACTTAAAGAAACACGCCAGTAAAGCGCCAGTTATGCGCCCTTTGGTTTCACGTTCATCGATATTGCTGCAATATCTTGAATGTTGAATGTCATTAAAATGAGTATTTATATTCCTAACAGATTATAAATTATTCTTCGATTATCTGGGGGCTGTGCAACCGTGCGACATAAGCACGAGCCGACACTAAGGTTACTTACTTTTCGCACCCGAAACCTCAACATTGGGACTGGACACAGTTCCTCACCTCACGTAGATTTTATTCAAAGCCCTCTGCAAAATGCTTAGTGTGAATAATAAAAAAAAATAAAAAAAATATTACTTGATCTGCACTTCCTACTCCATTTGATGGTAATATATTTGCAAACGATTAATTTCAGACTTGATGAGTTAATCATTATGATATCAATTAAAATTTATTTCAATTCTTGTAATAATCCTTTTGGTAAGATGGCGAACGCGAGACAACTTTCACCTGGTTTCATTTTCGAATAAAAACGGGAAAGAAGGCTGAAATGTTGGGACATTTTATTTATTGTATACTCTCATATTTTTGGCTTTTCAAAATATGTATTTCACTAAAAGTACCAAACACGAATCCTGGGGGAGAAGAGCACGGGGGCCATATCCCCCTCCCAAGCCAACAACATTTTGTAATTTTGCTCCTTCAATTCAAAATAATTACGGTCACACATAGATCTCGTCCCGTCCAAACTAGTATTCCCATCATGAATATATTCGTACATTTTTTTAAATTAAAAGAAAACAATTAAAATAAATTTTAAAAAATGTACGAAGGGGAAAACTGAATTTATCCCTTGCCCACGAAATACTTTCTGGATCCGCCCCTGACCGATACATTAATGCGATAAAAAAATGTTGCCACCTCTTTGCAGTGTTCTTCTGAGGATTAAAAATAAACATTAATATTAACATCCAAGTGTTTGACTTTTGTATTTGATGCTTCAGTCTTCAGCGAAACTTACCACCTACCGAAACTACCGAAACTCAGCGTACCACCAGTACCAGCTACACAGTCTCGAAGAGTGTACTAGTGTACACTCTTCGAGACTGTATAGCAGGTAACAAACGAGTGTGCTCAGCAAAACAAACGAGTGTGCCGTAGAATACGGTCAATCTAAGTCTACGCAGTCACACGCACATCACAATGAAAATCTCAATACAAATTTGTCTCAACGTATTCAAAGTACTAGCGCAAAATTTTAATATAAAAGTTAAAAAACAGTGAATATGGTTCATAAGCGATTTATGGGCAAGTTTCTTGTGCTAATAGCTTCTTCGTCATGTTGGACAGATAGGAACGAGAGATGTTTGTTCACACGAGAGATAGTGCACCAAACTTTTCCACATAAAATTTACAAAAACGTAATTTGAATTAAATTATTTTATTAATGACCTAACTAATTCGCCAGTGATAGATATGTCAACACAAAATATTATTTCTTTTTTCAGTTCCAATACAGAAATTCTATTTTGTCAACAAATAAAGGGGCAT